GACAATATTTCACCGAGCTGCTCCCGACTCCCGAGAGAGAAAAAAAAAAAAAAAAAGGAATAGGAGGGAAAAAAAAAAAAGGAGAATAAAGAAGGCACTAGCAGAAAATAGATATAGAACCGAGAGAAGAGGGTCAGAAAAATAAGGAAAGTTGGAAGAAAGAACTAATAGACAAACTGTCTAAATAACATACAGTGTGTCAATACAAAATACACTGAAGGCCTAGGTTGGGAACATTAGAGCCGCATGTACCCGGTCCCGACCCGGGCCTCCCGAGGAGCAGAAAAAAAAAAAGCTATGAGGGAGGTCACTCATATGCAAGAATGATCCCCTCCTACAAAATGTGTTCAATAAACCCTCAAACAGGCATGGAAAATAAGCCATCTCCCCCGTCGAGTAAACATGACGGCAAATAAAGGGGAGACGCAGAATGGAAGGATCAGACGGGGAAGGCCCAAAGCCCTTGTGACTATGGTCGAAGGCGACCCCGCATGTCCCGGAAAGCGTTGGCAGTGGGACTAGGGAACCAACCTCAAGCCACAGTCCCAGGGCATAACAAAAGAAAAGCACAAATACAAAGACACATATCAAACGGGAATAACAAAACAGTGTGCATTCAATAAAACTAAGAGCAAAAAATCAACAAGATTTCCCAAGACCAAATACCATACAAAAAGGTCCAGGGAGTTACAAACTTTAAGAAGAAGGAGAATGGGAGAGATCTACCAATATACGCGGATAGAAGGTCAACCCTCCGGGATCTTCTGGGAGGAGGATCCGGAACGCTTCTTCCTCCAATCGGACCGTTGCCAGGATGAGGGAAATGGGAAGCTGGGAGTCGGGAGTTGGAAGGGACAGTTCGGGAGGGAGACCTGGGGCAGTTCAAACGTGCCGAGAAATGTGGCCAAGTCCCTGAGGGTGCGGAATTGTGCAGATTTGCCATTCTTTGAAGCAGAGTTGGAAAGGGAACCGCCACTGGTAGCGAATGTGCCTCTCCTGTAGCATCTGAGAGAGGACGCAGGGCCCTGCGCATGGTTAAAGTCTGGTGGGAGAGGTCAGGGAGGAGCATCACCAACACTTCATTAAATAAGATGGTATTCTGTGTGCTGGCTGCACGCATAACGGCATCTTTGACCTTGAAGTAGTTGACCCTGCATAAAATCTCACAAACAAAAGACAGATTAGGGTTCCTGGGACCCAGCGTGCGGTGTATGCAGTCCAGTTCAATATAGGTATCCTTAGGTTGCTGCAGTAGTTGATTGAATATGGCGGTAACCGCCATGACTAAGTCCTTAGATTCAATGGACTCTGGTATGCCCCGGATCCGTATATTATTATTATTATACATGATTTATATAGCGCCAACAGTTTGCTCAGCGCTTTACAATATAACGGGAGACAATACAGCAACAATACAGTTCAATACAAGAGGGATTTGGGGGCCCTGCTCCTTGGAGCTTACAATCTAGAAGGGAGGGGCTAGTGGTACAAAAGGTAGTAACTGTGGGGGATGGACTGGTTGGAAGAGTAGAAGATTCCATTATTAGCTGAGGGCAGGATAGGCTTCCCTGAAGAGATAGGTTTTCAGAGATCGCCTAAAAGTGAACAGAGTAGGCGATAGTCTGATAAATTGGGGTAGAGAGTTCCAGAGGATGGGGGAAGCTCTGGAGAAGTCCTGGAGACGAGCATGGGAGGCGGAGACAAGGGAGCTGGAGAGTGGGAGGTCTTGCGAGGAGCGGAGAGTATGGTTTTGGTGATATATAGAGACAAGATCGGTGATGTAATTGGGGGCAGATTTATTGTTCATGTTTTGAATTTTATCCGTTGGGCAACGGGAAGCCAGTGGAGGAATTGGCAGAGAGGGATGGCAGATACAGAACAGTTAGTAAGTTGGATGATTCTGGCAGCAGCATTCATGATAGACTGAAGAGGGGATAGCCTGCGATGAGGTAGGCCAATGAGGAGGGAGTTACAATAGTCAAGGCGAGATATAACAAGGGAGTGAATAAGTTGCTTAGTGGTTTCCGAGGTTAGGATCGGGCGTATCTTGGAGATGTTGCGGAGAAGTCTACAAGATTTGGACAGTGATTGGATTGGGGACTGAAAGGACAGATGGGAGTCTAGGATTACACCTAGCACCCTGGCATGAGGGGAGGGATTGATGATTGTGTTATTGATCTTGATGGAGAAGTCAGGGGAGGGGGCACGGGCTGGAGGGAATACGAAGAGCTCAGTTTTGGAAAGATTGAGTTTGAAGAAGTGGAGTGACATCCATGCCGATATGTCACTTATTAGGTTAGTGATGCGAGAGGAGACTGAAGGGGTGAGGTGAGGGGTAGAAAGATAGATTTGTGTGTCATCAGCATAGAGATGGTACTTAAAGTCATGGGAGTTTATCAAGTGACCAAGGGAGGAGGTGTAGATGGAGAAGAGAAGGGGTCCAAGGACAGAACCTTGAGGGACCCCTACAGAAAGAGGGAGTGAAGAGGAGGCAGCGCTATAGGTAACACTGAAGGAGCGCTGCGATAGGTAGGAGGAAAACCAGGAGAGAGCAGAGTCTCTGAGGCCAAGAGAGTGGAGATATTATTATGGCGGTTCCTGTTCTCAATGTCATCTTATTGGTACATGAGTTGTGTTAAGACTGTATGAGAGTTAAGAGTCTCTTCATGGGATTGTAAAGCGCTTCATAGGCCGTCAGCGGGATTTTCAATCTCTTCCATCCATACACAAATATCTTGCTTAAGATCAAAAATTTCTTGTTCGTAGACATTTTCAATACGTTTCACACAAAGTTCAAAATCCGCCTTGGTAGGTAAAGATTTGGTGTAAGACTGCAGAGATCGCATGTGGGACTGCAGATCCCAGCCATCCTCAGAGCAGAGAGATGCTAGAGCTTACCTGACCATCTGCATGTGGCCCTTGTGTCCAGGGGGGACGAGGAGGGAGTAGAGGCCGGCGCCATCTTGCTGGACGGTACGCCTGAGGCCTCAGATTGGGTAAGAAAACGTCCCAAATCACCGCCGGAACAGCCCCCCGTTGTTCTCCTGCCCATATAGAGGGCTGGAGACTGCCAGTTGTTCTTTTTGTCCATATAGAGGGCTGGAGACTACCAGAGAAAGGGTAGAGAAAGGGCAAAGGAGGTCCGGGCCAGGAGCTGTGCAGTAATGCTGCCTACGGCTCCATGCGCCAAGCCACGCCCCCAGAACTGTATTGTTTAATACTCGGCCGAGATTGGCAGCCGAGGCTGCGAATAGTGGTGCAGGTAGGGCACGTGCTTTCACGCACCCCTGCCAGCCTGTAGCAGTAGGTCTACTATAGGGCAGTGGGAAAGCGATTAACTATATGTATAGAATAAAATTTTGATTTGATTATAATTTCCACTCTGATGTGTCAGACCTTCATGAAGCAAAAAATATCTGTGTGTAACTTGCTAGCCACTAAAATATTCCTCTGGATCGCTAACATTTATCACATACTAAAAAACTGTGTAAAAAAGACCATATAACTAAAAAATGTTGCGCTCCCAATCTCTCACAAACTTATAAATTAGTGACTTCAAATTATATATCCATGAAAAACAAACAATATACCATATATAAATAAATGAATATCAAGTTAAATGTGATGTGAATCAAAAAAAAATAAAAAAACAGTCCCATTAATCAAATAATAGTCCAAAAAAAGGGATTTGTGATGACGTGATTCAAACACACCAATTGTGACTTTTCATGAATCCTTAAGTCATTAAAGATGTGCGCTCACCTCCTTACAAGCCTAACAGATAGGCCTAATACACTTTTTGTTCACATACATGGACCCTGCTAGAATTTGCTGCAGCATGGAATGGATGTTGGATACCTCCTATGTACTCCACAATGCTTCTCTTCTTATACACTCGTTATCCCTGCAGGGATCTCTCCCTCCTTCAGCTGCTCAGGATCTACTGCTCACTCCTCTTAGATGTTCCTCAGTGTCATGAAGCAAAAAAGAAATGTGGACATAGTGCTTTATCCTTATAAGCCTTTATTTAAATGCTCGATATATGCACTCACATTGAATAAAATTAAAAAGCGCTTTGGTATTAAAAAATCCTTTGCCTGTGTGTGCCCCGCACAGCGTGTATACACGCCGTATGCTCTCTGGTGCCGAGTGCCGTCGTAGCCCCACCCCTGTTTGAATCACGTCATCACAAATCACTTTTTTTGGACTATTATTTGATTAATGGGACTGTTTTTTATTTTATTTGATTCACATCACATTTAACTTGATATTCATTTATTTATATATGGTATATTGTTTGTTTTTCATGGATATACAATTTGAAGTCACTTAATTTATAAGTTTGTTAGAGATTGGGAGTGCAACATTTTTTAGTTATAAGACCTTCATGAAGGTTAATGTTTATAAGGGGTTGTTAGTGAAAGTCTGGCTTTCTTTTATATTTTCTCTATAGCTTATCTAGATTTTGCCGACAGCTCCTCCCTGTAAAAATTAAAATTGCATACCAATTTGAAATGTGTATGAGTGACCGGGTTTAAGGATCTCTATTGGTATTATCTAAATTACAAGTGTCATGTTTGCTGAACCACGGTTGCAGCTCTATACTGCCTAAGGCTTATGTTAGTAGATTTTGTCATCAGTACATTAGATGACATGATGAATGTCTTTCAAAAATACTTAAAAAAATTTACTTCTAACATTTGTTTTTGGCGAGATTGTACTTTCCCAAATGAAGACCACATACACTATTAGAAATTTGAGAAAAGAAAAAGGCTCATTGACAGGGGCTTTGCTGCATTTCTTATACATTTGCTCAGTTTTCAACTGTTTTAAACAAAATGCCACAAACATACTATACTTAGAGTGGAGCAGGCTTATGAACTTTAGGGAAGACCACTTCTGCACTTTCCTGTTTTTGTTTTGCTTTTTTCACCTTTTGAAAAAAAAAAAAAATGGACTGGAGTTCTGATCTTTTCAATGGCCTGCTTTTTGTTTTACAGGATCACCTGATGTTTCCTCGTATGTTAATGAAGCTGGTCAGCCTGCGAACTTTAAGCAGTGTGCACTCAGAACAGGTGTTTGCTCTGCGCCTACAGGACAAAAAACTACCACCATTACTGTCTGAAATTTGGGATGTTCATGAGTAAAGGACATTGGCCAGAGTGGCTAGAGACACATTACTCCTTCATGCTCTCCTATATGTTCAGCACTGAGTTGAGTTCCATATATAGACTGGACATCAGACATGTATCTGGAGATCTTGAGAGCCCTGCCAGGGCCACCCAGGAGGACTAAGTATAACCTAAAAAGGGTTTCCTTTCCCTGGATATCACTACTCAGTCAGAGACATTGGGAAACTAACAACAACAGCTTTACAATGAGTTCTACATCGTAGGCCTGCATTGGCCTAAGGGATAGGTATCCCTTTTCCAGCTTAAACCATACAAATCCTTTTTCTCAGTGACTGGTTAGTTTTAGGTAAACCTCCATTTGGTGGAGTGGAACTACGGTTTAGATGTGGGGTTAATAATTCACCAACAATGACTTTTATAAAGTAGTCACCCCATACAAGGCTCTAGAGACTTCTAAGAAGCCTTTGGTTATAGAACAATGACCTGAGTGCCAGTTATGCTTTAGATGTAAATGTACAGAGATGCTTTAGTTTTAGTCTCGTATGGCAGTGACTTGATGTCTCGCCCAACCCATTGTAGTATTTTCTAATGCAGGGAAATTTTGAGGGTAGTTGCCATGCTGCAGCGTTAGCTACCTCTCTATTAAATCAGATGTCACTATCCTCGGTTCTATAAGGCTTCCATCACCAGGGCAAGAATGGCATAAATCATTAACGCTACTAAACGCAATAGCACATTTACTTCCATTGAACATGGCTTCATTTTCATAGCAAATCTTGCACTTGCTTAAACTTTTCCTGCTCTTCATGTTTATATGCACTTACAGATCTTTTCTTTGGCACTTACACTGTACGGTGGGCTCATGTCCCAGGATTGAGAATAAAGTGTATATTATATTCTATGATTTTAAAAATGTCAGCTTCTGTAATGTTAACATGCAATAGCTTACAGAAGCTTTGTTGAAATAAGTGAATTAAATTTTTATTCTATTTCTCTTATGTTTAAAGAGCACCTGTAGTTTGGGAGGGGGTGCACTATAAAAGGAAAGTCTCCTGGCTATGAAGAGGTTTTGGAAGGGTATATTTATTTTTACAGGTGGGGTTTATTTGGTATCTAAGGCTGGATTAGTGTATAACTGCACTTTTCACTAAACATAATGGGTGAGGTTTACTAAAACTGGTGCAGCTGTGTATGGTAACCAGGCAGCTTCTAACGTCATCTTGTTCAATTAAGCTTTAAGAATAAAATCTGGAAGCCGATTGGTTTCTGTGCAGCTGAACCAGATTTTGCACTCTTTGGTTTTAGGAAATTAAACCCCAATGCATATCTAATTCTCCATGCAGCCTATGGCAAATAACCAGTGTGACTGGGTTACCTCTTCTGAAGAAACATTTTGCTTTTAGCAGAATCGCACAACGTATTGGCATAAATCTTTTACTAAAAAAAAATGCTAGGGGTTGCGGTTTGGAGATAAGCAAACTGTTCTACAATGAACTAAATGAGCAATCCATATTCCTGAAGCAGATTTATGGAAGCGCAGCAGGAAGTACTCAGAACCAACAGGCTATGTAGGTAAGACTTCCTTATAGAACTCATTATATTGGCATTTCTTCAAAAGTTTCATGAAGTACAAATGTGTATATTTTTTAGTGAAAGTAGTCTTTAATTATAGCTCTAGAGTTTCTCTTTAATACTTTTCAAAATCATTTTAATGTAAGAGTGTGGTTATTTTTTATAGATCATCCTACCATGCCACACGTGGGTGCCTCTAATAAAAGAAATTTTAAGTTGCACCATTTCAGTAACAGTCAGTTGCGCACAGTGATAACAGGTTGTACTGTTCTAGAGAAGGGGAACTGAAGGCACAGGGGGTTATTTACTAACACTGGAGATTGCAAAATCTAGTGCATCTCTGCAGAGAAACGAATCAGCATTCAGGATTTATTGTCAAAACTTAAATGAACAAGCTGAAGTTAGAAGCTGATTGGCTACCATGCAGAGCTGCACCAGATTCTGAGTACACCAGTTTTAGTACATCTCCCATACAAGTTTACACATTGAAGAGGGAAAAATGGCAGAAAATCAGTCTGCTGTTCAAAAGGCTAAAGGGCCTATCCCTGCTGGAAATGATAGATCTCATTGCACAAAGGAAGAGTGTGGAATTCTGTCAAGGTGAAAAAATTAAAAGAAAAAAAGAATTCTGGTGGAATTGTTTACATATACTGTATTTATCACTGAAAATAACATGTACTCAGTTTGTATATTGGATCTACGGAGTTTAGATTTTGGAAGAGATTGGTCACACAGTGCTGTTCTGAGGTGCTCAGTGACACCTCAGTCTGTCACATCACTCTTCTTCAGGTTGTGTTTGTAGAGGTACTATTGTAAAAGATTGGACTACGGTAGATCTTAGACACAACCCCTCTGCTGCATCATAAACTTTTCTCACTGGAGGAACCATCTCCGTGTTTTTCTTTTCTACCCTTCACCTTCTTTGCTTTGTTTTGATAAAGCATTGGTGCATGGCACTTAGATTACTGTGGACACTAGAGGGACAGCCTAAAACAGCGAGCAAACACCGCTATCTGTTGGGCAGCACAGTATTACTCTGCCTTGCATACCTCCCATTCATAGCATTGCAGCTGCAGTGTGGAGTCTCTGCGTCCCCCAAGTTCTCATTGCTTAACAATGAAGAGAGAACTTTGTGATTGGAGGAGAGGCCTGTCACTTGACTATGACAGGTCAAGTGACTGAGCTCACCTCCCACCTTTTTCTTTATCTTCTTTCAGTATTGTGCATTTCTTCAGCAGTTGTGCATTTTTTTTTTTTTTATTTTAAAGTGGTTGTAAAACAGGGGGGTCATACTCAATTTAATTGTGGGCCGCATCAGCAGTATGGTTGCTTTTAAAGGGCCAGTTGTATCTGTAAGACTATGTATTTACACTTTTATTGTTAAGGAGTATGCTGTGTACAGAAGGCAGAGTTCAGAGGTGCGCTGTGTACAGTGTGCAACACCAACCACCACCTCCCCTCCCCAAAGCATCTTTCCTTGCATCTCTACTCTCTCCTACCTCTAGTACCTCCCTGGGTAAGTGGGCCCCTCTACTACCTTTGTATTTGGCTCTGTTATACCTCCCTGTTATACCCGGCACAGGGAGATCTGTTCTCACTCTCAGATTCCAGAGAGTTGTCCCTGCCGTGAGGGATCTGTCTCATCCAGAAGCCACTGAAAGCAAAGCTGTCCCTTATAAACACAGAAGGGTTCTGTGTTTACAACTGAAAGCCGGGAGGGGAATGGAGCAGAGTGAAAGGACCACATGACAAGGCCTGGTGGGCCGGATTCAGCCCGCAGGCCTTGTGCTTGACATCATACCTGTGTTGTAAACCCTTACATATACCCAGTGCAGGGACTATCCTCAGGTGATACACAGAGATGAAACAAATCCTCCTATATAGGTTGTACCAGTCTATCTGCAGTTTTCTTTTCTCCACATCTGTTTAAAGTGTTGAGTTTATACGCTTGTCTGGGAGTTCAGAAAAAAGGGGGCAGAGAGCTGAGGTTACACTTTGCAGAGCTCAGAGAGGAGAGCTCTGAGAGCTGATTGGGGGGAAGAGACACCCCCCCCCCCCCCCTTCACACAGGAACAGAGTTGTGAGCTAGAGATCCCTCCCCCTTACTATCTTTTTATCTTGGTGTCAGAAAAAATTGTCAGAAGTGATTCATGCTGATAGCAGAGGAACAAGGCAGCAGACAGCAATGACACTGTGTGTACTTGTCTCAATTAAGATCACTGAGGGATATTTCACACCTGAGGTTTACAACCACTTTAGGTCTTAAGTGTCCCTTTCTATGCTTTGTGGTATTTTTCTTTCTGATGTAAGAAGTGTTGCTCTGGATCATTAGAAAACACTCATCATAGGATAAAAGCTCTAGGGCTCCAAACATATAGGCGTTAGGCTTTATTAACTAAGCTATAATGCATGTGTTATTCACCAAAAGCAATTCTTATTTTCAGGCATGTGACTATTGCTGAAACAGTGGTTGTTACTACAAATTACAATTGCTAAAGCTTACTGAATTGAGTAGATAGTGTAATCTTAGCGAGGAAATGGTAGCCTTAAGCCCCCTTTCACACAGTCTGAATCCAGTTGGATCCGGTTTTTCTCAGCAGGGGATCTGTCCGCGGATCCCCTCCTGAGCTAAGCTGAGTGGCCAGATGACAGGTCCATGTCTGCTCCGCCTATGCAGAGCGGACACAGAGCAGAGAGGGCTGTGTCCATGGGCAGTCAGATGTAAACAAACCAGCTGTCCATTTACACCCCACTACCTCTGATCTGTCCAAAAGGGGAACAAATCACCTTCAGTCTGTTTTATTGAATCGGAGGTAGACAACGAATCGGAGACACAAGTCTGTTTACATCAAGCTGCACATAGCGGAGAATGGAGTGTCCGATCTGGTCTGCCTGAAAAAAAGTATAGGCATACCCGATCGGACCACCTGTATTAAAGGGGCATAAAGATGAATTCCAGGTATTGTATATTTGTTCATAGAGATTTCTAGCCCAAGCTGCACCAATGTATCTGATGTAGACTTTAGTAATTTCTACTAGCTCCACTTGCTTCTGAGTCCTTTGCTGAGCGGCTGACCCGATACATTCTGAACACAGGGGGTTGGCTGCTCAGTGTGGGTGCCATTCAGAGAATTCTTTGTATTTTTCTGAATAAATGCAAAGCATTCTCTGATTGAAGGCAGGTGGAGAGGGTAATGTCACTACCCCACCACTCCACCTTGACCAATTTAAGAACACTGAATTCAACAGGAACTTGCCGAACTGTGAGTTTTTCTTGGAGCCTTTAAAGAACCATTTATCCTCAATATACAAGTATATATATTTAATTAAAAGGATAAGTTCACCTTTTGGACAAAAATAATAAATGCACCTTTTTTTGCATGTAAAAAAAATGTGCATTTATTATTTTTGTCCAAAGGAGCCTGTAAAGCATTACACCAACG